GGATATTACTTTTCGTGCGTGAGGTCACATCTCCATTATTCATCGTTCTTTTTATCTTTTGCATAACTGCAACCGTTGGGGTGTTTCTTTTGAATAAACGAAGCTTTTTAATGATCTGTCTAGATCGCATCGTAAACGAGCGACCCTACAGCCGAAAAGTATAAGTTCATTAGAGAATTTTTTTTCATCGTCGTCAAAGTCTTTCGACGGTCGTTTCTAATCCACGTGTTCGTCGAATGAACGCAAATGTCACGCAAATAAATGGTCCGACGAAAGAAACTCTTGTCGAAGCAATAACGATCGAGACGCGGATAGGTTTCCCCGGGTGTACAGTGTTTTCCAGCGATAAGAACGGGAAGAAAGCATCGGTCCAGAGAGAGGTATTGTTCGTTGCACAGCCAAGGATAGATTTCCGATCGACAGAATTATTTTCCAATTATTTTTCCACGCCCGATTGCTCGGCTGTGCGTTACTTCGCGAAGAATGTCAGCGTCCCGGCTAAGAGATCGAACGAATTCATTTTTGTCCCGGAAAGAAACGCTACCTTTTTCCACTTGTTCGTAAAATTATTTTTCTTACAAGAAACGCCTTGAACCTCGATTGCTTTTGTAATTCTTGGCGATTTTTTTCTTTACATCCGTGACTTCGTCGACGTTTAAAATTTCTTTGGATCGTAAAATGTGATGTGCAGAAACACAGGAATAAATTGTTGAAAAGTTAGTTTCCGGCGTGTGCAACGAGCGACTTGATAAAACTGTTTGCCGAATTATCGAACTAATATAGAAACTGCGTTATTTGCTCGTGACCAGTTTACGATGCTGACCACCGAAGGAACTTGGAATTCGCAAGCACTTGAAGTCTGTTGATAAAGCCAATATGATCCCGATATTGGAATTCGCAAACTCGATAAATTCCCTTCTTATCGGCACGCGGAATTTATGAGTCGTTCGTCACCAGTTATAGTGAAACATAAACGTATATACAGTTTTCGTTCTTAATAAGGCGTGACAAAATCTACTCCTTTATTATTATTATTCATTTATTAAGGGAATAAACCCCTGTAATATGCAAGGAACTACAAATGTGGATTTTACATGGTCAAACATTATCGCTTATAAAATTGTAACAAACTAAATTTGCAATACTTTGCAAGGATAATTTTAGACTTTGTAATGATTCTTTATGCATGCAAATTATTCACCAAATTTGGGGAAAGAAACAAGCGTGGAAAATATTGGAAAACATTGCTTTAAATTGTAACATTTTCTCAGAACGGTGAAAATTAAGCATAAATTTTAATTAAATCGTTTCACCGATAATTTCGAGAAAATAAAAATCGTAATTTTTTAGCGAAATACCGAGCAACGATAAAGTTTGCAACGAAATATCGGTCGTGTTCCGGGTATTCCTGTTGCGGTGCACGTGCGTCTTCCGGTCACGGGTTAATAATACTAATGTCGCCGTGGCGGGGTGTGGGGGAGGCCGGGGTGCAGGAGAAAACTGCAAAATTGGCAACTCGATGCAACCTGATGACATCAGCAGCGGTTCGTTCGGATATGGAGTTTAATGGGACAAAATATCATCCAGCAGAGCAGATAAAACGATAGGGATGCTCGACGGAAACGAACGGATGCGTCGAATCGGCAACTCTCGCGAATTCGTGAGCCACTTGATATTCGTGGCTCGTCCAATCACGGAGCTGATTGGATCGTACTTATTAAATCGCATTCGACCGGTCGATCGACGGAGCATCGTCTGTTATTTATTTGCCTCTATTCCAATTAAAGTTTCCGTACGTTTCGTCCGCCATCCGGTACGTCCTGCTCCCGGAACTTACAGCGCCCCGGAAAATATTGCAAACAATTGTAATTGCGATCGCGACGTTTCGAGCTTTTGGTCGATAACAACGACGAGGCTTCCTTCCGAAAAATCTACCGATTTTTATGCCAGCCGCGCGTCGGACGAGCTCAATTTTTAATTAGCAACGATCGATTCGATCGTCGAGGAATTCCTTGCACGCGCCCAATTTGTTATTTACGCCCGTTAAAAAGTAGGTTACGTTTCGAATCGCGTTGTGCAGGTTCCCTGTTTGTTCGCGTAGTTCTACAATGTCGCGGGGGAAGACAATTTTAACAGACGCTCGCTTTGTTTGAGTTGCTACCGGGCGGGCGCGGTTCGTTGCAACTTACGCGCAGCCTTAATTGCGAATAACGAAATTTACCGTTTCTTTGGTCGAAGCATCGCGTATTTGGGCGAGGGCAAAGATGTGCTTTTTTTAGAATGTCTTCAGAAAACGTAACAAACGTGTATAAAATGTAATAAATAGTTGACGTACATACCTGTCTCGTGAACGAATATTGCTCTTACAAGAATAATTATTGTTTATTATTGACAACAATCGATACGTATACGCATCGATGAAATATTGTTTTTTCAAATTCAACTAAATGGCGTTCGTTTGGGGGTGAATTATCGAATGGTTTAAAAAGAATTTTCTAAGGTCGTTTGACTTTAAAATCGTCGCGAGTATATAACGAATCAAGGCTCCGGGTGATTCTCATTAACTCTGTATCGTTGCATAAGAGAGCGATTGGGAATTTTGCGAAGTCGTAACGCGGAAACGTCGGAACGGAAGTTACTTCGGAGCGGTCGTTGGTATCGGCGTTGCCGGAATCAATGCGTGGTTTTGTGAAGGGGCGTTTAGCGGTGGAACGCAGGCTAGTCACGTATATACCGGGTGGCCCGATAACTGTTTTCGCATTAATATCCCCCGTAACCGAAGGATTCGATAAAGAGTTTGTCGAGAGAAAGTTGCGAGGCACCGAAGGGACCATTCTATCGCTCGGTTTCTTCCTTAAGGGTACTTTGGAGCTCGCTGAGGGTTTTTAATGAGATTCTTTACCTCCCTATGTAATGAAAAATAAATTTCCGTTATAAAAAAAAATTCTTTTTGTCGTCCATTATTACTTACTCTTGAATATTTTATACCTGCTCTTCGGGGGAATTGGTCAAACTCTAATACAAGCCATTTTTGTCTGCGTACATTTATATTGTGTTTACGCTATTCTTAATAAAATACTTTTATTAAATTAAAAACGAACTTTCGAATTATTTGTATGCTTGTTGCAAAATTATCGCAGCTCTGCATTTGAGATTTGTTTCGAACGACACATTCGACACAATTTGTATATTTATGTAGTTTGTGCAACGTTTTGAAGTATAGAACGAGTCGAATTGTCGTAGGAACGAATGTTCTCCGTGGTTGCCATAAAGAGTGCCAATTTCCATACTTCTGTCCGTGTAATTCGCTTTGACAAAGCAAAGGTGGCTATCTTACAGAGAAATTGCTATCGCTGTAAGATGATTGCTTCTGTATCGTGCAACTTTTGTTGGACAGTTGCCGTTCAAAGTCCAAAGTTTCGTAGATATTTCGTGGCGACGGTTACCGGACCACCCTATATTCTGTGGAACTTGTATCGAAGGCAAACGATCTCTGGAGTGGGCGAGCTCGAGTTTCGCAAAGCGGCGCTCTTTGAAGATCACTGATATCGGTTGACCGAGTCGAGGCAGACCGATTGACCGACTCTGGAACGGTTGGTTAGCCAAAGTGGCGGAAAATGAAGAAAACGCGCAATCCGGTGATCGGTTTCGGGATTTCGAAAGTCTCCAACGCGGTTAATTCTGTTACCGGGGAATCCAAACGACTCGCGAAAAGATATTCAAAATGTAAAACGCGTACGAGACGGAGAACGTTCGATCATTAAAAAAAGAATACTTTGGTTTCATGTGCGTGAGAAGTTCGATCACAAATATTTAGTCCAAATTTTAGTACTAATATTCCTGTTATAGTCTTCGAAATAACTCGAAAACTAAACAATAATTTAGATGGTGCGTGCTTGGCGAGAAACTTTGACGCGTGTTTATTCTAGTCAAACCAAGCATTCTGTATTTGAAACTAACGTTATCGCCCTGGAGGTGTAGGACCCAGACCTACACCTAATTCAGATCTAACCCAAACGTTGGTTCTCTCCAAAGTATAAACAGAGTATTTATCCACGTGAAAATTCTTAAACACAAATAATAAGAACTTAACGATTCGATGCATCGTTTCTAAACCTTTTCTGTGCGCGAAATGCTGCATTCTAGCAATCTAGGGGGCGGGAAATTTATTTGTGTCTCGCGAAAGTCTACGGAGAGATCGGGGATCGGTGAGAAACGATTTCGAATCTTTGCGTCGACGTGCATCCGATTTCTCTAGGGGTGCGTGAGTGTTTTCCCCGTCGTTCTTTTTCTTATTTTTCGTCGCCCGAAAAAGGAATCGTCGTCGGTTAAGATGGGCCGCCGGTAGCGAGCAGCACGTTCCCCAGCCCCCCGTCTCTTTTCCTATTACGCGACATTTACCCGGAAAAATAATGTCTGTGCACATTTCACTCGCGTTATCTACTCGCCGGGTTGCTTTCTGTTCCTCTTGCTTTCCGCCGGCTACGCGAGCTGAAACGTGCCAAAAGAGCCCTCCGCCGACGTCATTATCTGACGAGCTCTTTGCGATTCACAATTTTTGACGTTTCCCCGGGAAAAATCCGTCGACGTTTGCAGAATCTGCAACTCGGTTTACCGGTATGTACCATCAATCGCGAAGACTCGCTCTTTCAACGACCAATTACGGTCGTGGCAGTTTTATCTACGAAGGCCCTACAAACAGAATATGTTTAAATATTTTCCCCGAGAAAACTGCACGCGAGTTTCAAATGATTCGAATCTTTCTAATTTCAAAATTTATTCCCCCTCGATGCAGTCTGTGTAAAACGAACGATTCTCGGCGTGCAAGTTTTATCGATATTATTTTTGTTGATTAGGATTATTAATTAGGATTAGAAACACAGGGTTAGGTTAGCGAATCGTGAGAAATATACAGGATCAATATTCGATCGATATCGTCGGGCCCTGCTAGCCCCGAGTACAGCATTGACGGTGTGCGCATGCGTACGCAGGAATCCAATATGGCCGACTTGTGTGCGTACGTGTTGTCAGCCGTTCTGTGCTGTCTTTTCTGTTTAATATATATCGTTTAATAGTGTTCAGTTTACAATAATTGTGTGTCAACAATTAATCCCTGATTCAACCTTGTTCCCCGCTAAACACCTGACAGAAATGTATGGCGAGATCATCGTGAGTTCAAAGCGAGAATACGAGCGTCGACGCTTCACACAGTAAGAGAATGCCTTTCTTCATAATTTTACAATACATTCTCTCAAATTCATCATGAACAGAGTCGAAAAGTTAACAAAAATTGTACAAATAATTCGACAAAACATAAATACCCGTACTTTATATAAATGTGTTCGAACAAGTAATGGTTGACCCGTGACAGAGATATAACCTCTAAACTATCTTTGATCGTCGCAAAGTAACGACATTAGCTTTCGAGTAAAAGTTTGGTCTGTTGGTATTAAACGATGCAAAGAGTTCGCTCGAAACGAAACGAAACCGAGGAATGACGAGAATGTTACGACGAAAGTTCCAGTGACAATAAAACGTATAAACGTATGGCGTACGAAGGTGGAGGGGGGTCGCTGGAAAAGGATGGTTAAAGCGGAACTTTAATTGCGATTTAGTCCGTCTTTTGTTCTCGAAAGAACAATTAACAGTTTTTTAACAAATTAACGACGATCGTTGGGTTTCTTCGGGGATTTACGCAAATTCTGCGTTCCGCGGAAAAGATTCTCATCAGAGTACGGGATGAAATCCCTTCGCGTCGTCGCCCGCGGCTCCCAGCTCTGTCTACAGTCCTCCCTTTCAGCCCGTCCGTCTCTTCGAATATCTGCCAGCTGTCATTTGTCTTTCCCGCGAATGACACACGGCACACGTGTTTCCTAATCTGTCTTTGTGACGTAATGAACGCGTGCACTCTGCGGTTCGCGCGGCCGACGACAGCCAACGGGGCGGAGACGCCTTGCTGTCTACCTCCTCGTGACGCGAAGACTTCCGATCCCACCATTTCACGAATTTCCCTCGTAATTAGAATCCGTTTCCACGTTTCACCGCACGGAAATGCGGTTAACGAGCTTAAATTTATCAGTCGTTTCATTTTACAGGTATTTTATAACGGAGTACTGACAGCTTTCGAGGGAAACTTTCTTCACGACGGACACTTCGCGTGCTCGCCACCAGAGGGCCACGCTCTCGTATCTCTCGCAAACGCTCGACCTAACCTTCTCGTTCCTACATATACGCTCTTCGACTGGTTTATTGAGCAGTGAATGATAGATATGGCGGTTAGGACGAAGCCTTGATTACTTGATGAAACGATTTAGTGATTCTTGAGCATACACACATGGTCATATACTGATCCATGATCATGTAATGTGTGCTAATTTCTGGAATACTGTAGAAGTATACAGTAGACGGTAAAAAATGTTGTATTACTAGCCTGATTATTGCTTATTAGTATTAGAATATAAGTACCATTGAAAGTTTGATCTGAATCGATTTAGAGATTTTCGAGCATATACACATAGTCATATATGGATCCATTAACATGTAAATGAGCTAATTTCTGGAATACTATAGAAGTATACAGTAGACGGTAAAAAATGTTGTATTACTAGGCTGATTACTGCTTATTAGTATTAGAATATAAGTACCATTGAAAGTTTGATCTGAATCGATTTAGAGATTCTCGAGCATATTCATATAGTAATATTATAGAATACTATGGAAGTATATATACGTAATTTAATCAAGCAATTGTTCCCACGTGCCTAGTAGACGGTAAAAAATGTTGTATTATTCTCCGTGGACTTATATTAGTGTCCGCGTCGATTGCTAACACCCAGTTCGTTCGCACGTTGTTCATCGATCGAAGCTCTTCATTAAACCGCCGGTCCGTTATTTAAAAGCAATCGGTCCGCGAGCGTAAGAAAAATGCAACGCGTGCTTGAAAAACGCGGGGCCGCAGAGTCTATTGAAACGACCGACAAGAATCACGGCCGACAGAAATTAGCATGAAAACGCAATCGATCAGCAAGGGCGCGGATTTACGACAAACCGTCTGAACGCGAACAGTTCGTCCGTGGCCACGTAGCCCTGGGCAATTCGTCACGACAACGTTCCTCTTTCCCTACCGAATTATCATTCTTTTTTTCGACCATTATACAGGGCAGTCCATAGATTACACAGGGCTTTTAAGGGCGGAGGGGTTTAGCATTTTCTTACGAAGGCAGAAGGGCTCCCGTTTTACGATAAGAATTTCCCAGGGTTCCTAACAAGAATTATACTGTTTTTATTATAATTTTTACCCGAGAAAGAAAATACCTCTTCTTCGAGAAATCGATTTCACCGTAACGCTCGCGGAGATTTTTTAAAAAATTTGCGGAATGTTGTAAGTGTCGAAATCGCTGGACGAAAGGTCACTGGAAACGTTGAACAAAGTGACAGCTAACAATTGAACGTTTAACACGATCGGGCCGAAATGCGAAATATTATTGTGATAAATCGTATTGCGTTCCATTCGACTATGTCTCGCCATTTATACGAGCCGGTGCGCGTTATTGAATTTCAAAATATTTCCATCGGTAAACCGTCGTCCTCTCCTATTTCGGATCTGTTATAAATGCGCGTCAACGTAAAGAGATGAAAAAAAAATCACTTTTTATTTTTTATATTATGACAAATGAATTTTTCCATTCGCAGTTTGACAGTATTTTATCGAGAAAAACGGTGGTTCGACGCTGAAACGAACATTTCCGACGACTCTTCATCGCGTATCTTTTCTCGATTTATTAAATGTTTATCGAATGACACCATCTTTGTTCCAAGTCTATTTACATAATTAACGAGTGTCTTCAATTTTTATTCTCTTTCGTGGTAATTTCTGAGAAGCTTCGTTCGCTAGAATAACCCAAATATCAGTCGGATGTTCATCTCGTCGCGAGAGCACAATGCGTTCGTTCGTATGTGGATTCCGCAATCTCTGTTTATGGTAACAAACACAGGCTGGTTTACTTTGCCGTGAAATGTCACGTAGGTAGAAACAGGAGACACCCATTCACGAATAGTATGGTGCTGGATTAATCCTTTGAGGTCCTATGTCGAACTGGACTCGGTATTGTATTTCGTTTCAGCCGGTCCTATGTCGGAGTCAACTCGACCTCAAATTTTTTTACTACTCGTATATCCAACTTAAGATCATTTCATTGGTATTTATAATACAACACGATTAGAACAAAATCAAGTCCATTTGTATTTATATTAATCGTTCCTTATTATTAAATTCTCACAATAGTGAAATATTGATAAAAGAAACATTTTTACTGCTCGTATATCCAACTATTTTAGTATCATTTCATTGGTATTCATAATGCAACATGATGAGAACAAGATCAAGTCCATTTGTATTTATATTAATCGTTCCTTAGTATTAAATTCTCACAATGGTGAAATATTGATGAAAGAAACATTTTTACCACTCGTATATCCAACTATTTTAGTATCATTTCATTGGTATTTATAATGCAACACGATGAGAACAAAATCAAGTCCATTTGTATTTATATTAATCGTTCCTTATTATTAAATTCTCACAATGGTGAAATATTGATGAAAGAAACATTTTTACCACTCGTATATCCATCTATTTTAGTATCCTTTCATTGGTATTCATAATGCAACATGATGAGAACAAAATCAAGTCCATTTGTATTTATATTAATCGTTCCTTAGTATTAAATTCTCACAATGGTGAAATATTGATGAAAGAAACATTTTTACCACTCGTATATCCAACTATTTTAGTATCCTTTCATTGGTATTCATAATGCAACATGATGAAAACAAGATCGAGTCCATTTGTGTTTATATTAATCGTTCCTTATTATTAAATTCTCACAATGGTGAAATATTGATGAAAGAAACATTTTTACCACTCGTATATCCAACTATTTTAGTATCCTTTCATTGGTATTTATAATGCAACAGGATGAGAACAAGATCAAGTCCATTTGTATTTATATTAATCGTTCCTTATTATTAAATTCTCACAATGGTGAAATATTGATGAAAGAAACATTTTTACCACTCGTATATCCAACTATTTTAGTATCCTTTCATTGGTATTCATAATGCAACACGATGAGAAGAAAATCAAGTCCATTTGTATTTATATTAATCGTTCCTTAATATCAAATTGACACGATGGTGAAATATTGATAAGATAGATAGCTGATTTGGCGAATGCTTTGTTTGAAATTGAAAAAAGTGAACATTCAGCCAGTAGAAATTCCACCCTTACGTTATAAGGGATTACCTTGAACTTGTAATTAAAAACTATCGTAACGATCGGTTGAATAATAACAATAAAGTGTATCGCAAGCAAACCGTGGAAGATTTTCAGAGAGTTCCGGCAAATTGTTACGAACGAATCGATGAGAATTCTATTTTAGCCGACCACGGGAATTCGCTAATCATTGAAAAGCGGTTTCGACGTCCCCTTGCCCCCGCAGGAACGTTAATTAAAAATATTCATTAATTGTATTCCCCGGCGTCAGCGAGTTATGCGCTTCCGCGAATTAAAATCGAATTTACCGTTAATTCCGCGGGAGCCTCTGTGTTCAATATAAATAAGCCAGACGCTCGGGCGGGCGATTTCGGGCCGGAAATTCGAGGAAAAGTCGAACGAGCTTCGATAATGGAATCTAATTTCCAGGAAGCGTAAATCATAAGAAGACGCGTTTCGATTCACGCGCGGGACGATGCATTTTTAATTAGGGACGAGGCGTCGATAGCGGCGGTACCGCGTAGCTTTTAATTAGCGCGCTTCAATCTGCCCCCGGTTACCGCGGAAATTGCGGAAATAATATCTCCGTCGACGATCGCGCGTGCGTATTTCCTTCCTTTTTTTTTCCATCCTCGCGTTTACTTTCTCGCCGCTTCCGGTAGACCGACGGACGCTGAACGATGAAAAACGAACTTCCGGAAACAACGATGGCACGCGTGCTAATCGATCGTTGGAATAATTCATCGTTAATGGTTTCGATCGTAATTTGCAAAATGAATTCTAGTAACCTTGCAACACTCCTCGAACTAAATATTCCAATTGTAGAAACAAATATCTACTGTTAGTACTGTCTATAGCGAAATAAGTGTTTTCCAAATGTCTTATTATCAGATAAATTCTTATGGGAATGATTTCTTCTCGATTTCTATTTGTCAT